CTGATTTGCTATAGTAGACATTTATATTTTTCTCTATAAACTTGGTCAAAATTAGATAAGTTCGATTATTTCAAAAATAAATACACCTTACAATTTCAAACTGAGGGGGAATTGAGCATTTTCGTAAAGACTTGACCTTTCCTTGAACTAGAAGATTCCCCGCACGTTGCTGCGGAACCATTTGCAACAACCATGTTGTTATATATAGAATCTGTAAAAAAAGATACTGTATAATATAAACTCAATGGGTTACGTAATCTAGCAAGATGTATACGAAACATGTTCAGTAAAATGTTCCTGATAATAACACAATACATATGCAAAAATTAACTCCAAAAAAGATGACAGAATTGGAGCACCGACTATGATACTTGCAAATGAACCACTGAATGTTTTTTGTAAATCCCGAAAGCTGGTTTCTAAAAGAGAAAACTGACGCAGAAGCTTGTATTAGACTAAATCTCCAAAGGAGGAAATAAGCAATTAAAATGGAATGTTTTCTGACCTTCCAACTCGCAGTGTCTGCTCCACCAAAACTGAAACAATGAAAAGAAAATCAGGACACATCTACTTAGTACAACAATTATCCAAATGACATTATCAGGATCTATTAAAAGAAAATGATAACGAAATTGCATGCATGCTTACATGTATCATCAGATCACAAAAGGAACAGACATGCAGTAAGCAAAATCAACAACACGGCAAGGTTAAATTGCAAGATATAATCAGGGATTTACATAGTTACCTGGTACTTGTCCATGTCGAAGGGAATAAAGCAGGGAGACTTGTTCTTTATCTATTGGGCATCGGCCAGAGATGGTACTGAAACTTTGGCCGAAGAGCGCGTAGACAACGACCTGTAGGCATAGCGTCATGATGTGTTTCGCCGGTGCGTGGGGAAGCTTCGAGTCGATGCCTCCTCCCGATTCTGTGATTCATCGCCCTGTCCAAAACGATAGTTGTAATGACATGGGGGCGGCATGACGGGTGTCAACAGGGGTTCAGATCCATCCCTCCAGCAAACTGATTTTCTGAGGGCAAAACCTGATTACCTAGAGCAGGGGCGTTGGTTATGGCGGAAGACTACGGGAATGGAGCAGAAAGGAGTTGTGGAGCACCCAATTTAAATCGGAATCCATCAGTTTCTTGTGTACATAGTGGGGAGAGGAAGTGAAGCGTCAATCATCAATGACGTTCAGCTGAAGGGTTTCTTTGATTTTCAGGAGAAGAGTTTATTGGATGGCCGTAAATGGCAACTGATAAGATAAAAGTGTGCGCCATCTGGAGGGGTTGCACAGACGTTCAGGCAGTGGGCTATGTGGTTAGTATCAGCAAACGAAAAATTACTGAAGAACAACAGGATTACACGATCTCCACATCAAGAAGCTTAGTCCGTACTCAGTAGCAGTGAAGTAAGCTATGTGGAAAACCAGAATGTGGTGTCCCTGGGAAGACGGCGTTACTGGTGGAACCGGGCTCCCCGCTAACGATGACGACAGCAGAGCAGACCAATGGCGCCAGTATCTCCAAACGGCGAACGGCCCGCGTCCAACCGCGCCTGGCCACATTGCTGATACATGTTGCTCCTCGACGACTTGGGGTAGCAGCAATGGAGTCGCGCCCGGCCCCGTTCCAGCGCCCAGGAGATGTCGTACCCGCAGCCGCCGGTCGGTCGAAGCAGACGGCTGATGGCGGCATCGCGCGGTGGTGGACGGGTAGCGCGAGCAGGACGGTGTGTTGTGAGGAGGGCGACGTGCGAGCGAGGGCGGCGGCCATGGCGCGGTGAGGAGCAGCGCTGACTTCGAGGTGGCGGCCAGATTTGGCCGGGCGGCAGAAGAGGCCTACAGCGGCTGCAGTGCACATGTGAGGCGCGGTGGAGGTGTGGTTGCCGTGGGCGCGCAGCGGGCGACGGGAGGAGAAGGAAACTGGATGAAAGAGAGGAGGAAGGGCAGCGAATCGGCGCCGCTCCAGTGGTGTCAGGTTGGGTTGGGATCACCTGCACGGGAGGACCGGCGGCCGTGCGGGAGAACGATGGGCTGATTGGGTTGCCCTGTGCTGGATGAGCGGTGGTACTGTGAGAGGGGATTCTTTTTACTATTTCTATACCCTCGTCCGTTTAAGACTCTGAAAGCGGGGGAGATGGACTGGGCTCAATGACGTGTGTGCGGAGGCTCTCTCGTGGGTCCAAGCGGTAGAAACTGAAGCAAACGTGTCTGTTTTGAACTGTGATGGGTCCCATATGTAAGTCTCTAGCTAATCGTTGATGTGGCAGTGTTGCTGATGTGGATAGGCTACATGTCAAGAAAAATAATATAGTGGGGATGAACTATTTAAGTATTATAGATTATGAAATGATATGGTTGGGCAGACAGAGCTCTTTTTCTTGCTCGATTATACGGTGCATAATGGCAACACGCACATTTTCAAAACAAATCATGAGTGATGGTGCGCAGGGCCGTCCAAGGGCCTGTGTGAGCTGTGCGCTCGTACAGGACCCCCAAAATCATGGGGCCCCCAACTAGGGTCCATATACATATATGTATAGTCTGAAAAAAAAAATCAGTTTTAGGCCTTTTTGGGCCTGGTCCGGTCAAGTCTCAGCGATACGCTTTCCCATCGCGTGGATTGATCGATCGTAGATGAAACGACAGCCCCAGCGCAGTATGTTCCGTAACTTCCGCTTCCTATTCCCTGCCTGATGGCTAGGCTTTCCATCTCCCCATCGCTTCCGACTGAATCGGCGGCTCGGTGCGGTGGCGATCGCGTTGCAACCTTGCAGGTTCAGCGAGGCGACGGCCAACGGGCAAGAAGCGGACTACTTTCTAGCGCTGGACGCCGTCGCGCCGGCGGCCGGCCGACACTGCCGCGGTGCCGCCCAACAGGAACAGAAGACCAACTGGTGTGGTGCCCTCCCTGCTCCCTACGCTCTCCCCTTTTCTCTAATTTTGATACAAATTACAGAGTTGTGTTAATATGTTTGGGAACGATTTTTTGTGCAGTCCTTCAAGTTCAGAAGTAGTCACAGATTCGAGAATTTCAGTAGTTGCTCGTACTATCGTCCAAGTACAAAATCAAGGTTCTATCTGATTGTAAGTTTTTTGAACTACCTATACATGTCACAAGCCTATATTTCATGTGAGCTCATCAGGTCAAATAAATTGAAGGAGTGTATATTTCATTGAAACAGAAATAATCATGCATCCTAGTTCTGGAAGAAAGTATGATTCTGGTGCCTTCAAGCGTAAGAAGAAACAGAAATTAGAAGAAGATGCTGAAAATTCAAAGGGGTGCTCTTGATAAATATGTTGTGATAGTACCCTAAAATAGTTCCGAAAATCATACTCCAGATGGTAATATTGATGATGGTCATGATGATAATGCAGTAGAGGTTGAGGTTGTCACTGCAGAAATTCATGAAGGTGATCATGGTCTTGCTGATAATGCGCAAGAGGTTGAGGTTGCCGCTACAGAAATTGATGAAGGTAATGATGTCAATATTTTAGATGAAGATCATGATCCTAATATTTTGGATGACATGAATAATTCCGTTCAGCCTGATATATTTGATCCTAGAAATTGGGATGGACTTGATCCGAAAAAGATTGATATCTTGCTGCAAAAGGGTCCTAAAAGAGAAGATATTGAGTATGGTCCTTATGAAAAGTTCTCTAGAAGGTTTTCTGCATTATCATTTAGTAGAATTCTCCCAAATGGAGAAAAGTTTGACAGAGAGTGGCTTGTGTACAACAGCGGCCTCGATAAAGCATTTTGTTTTTGTTGCAAATTATTAAAAAGGGGGCATGTGAGAGTACAGCTGGCAAATGAGGGTTTAAGTGACTGGATTCATCTTGGGGCTAGACTAAAAGAGCATGAATCAAGTAGAGAGCATATCACAAATATGACTGCATGGTATGACTTCCTTCTCAGGATGCAGAAGAATCAAACAATTGATAAAGTTGCTCAGCGAGAACTTGAAAAGGAAAAGGAGCATTGGAGAAAAGTTTTGCTCAGGATTTTGTTGATTGTAAAATTTCTTGCAGAACATAATATAGCATTTCGTGGCAGCAATAGCAAGTTGTACCAAGAGAGCAATGGGAATTTCCTAGGAGTGATTGAAATGTTGGCTGAATTTGACCCAGTTATCAAAGAGCATGTTGATCGCATCACCAACGAAAAAAATTCGTGATCACTACCTTGGCCCTTCTATACAAAATGAGTTAATAAACATGCTCGCTACTGCCATCAGGTCAAGAATCATTGAAAAGGTAAAGGAAGCAAAATATTTCTCGGTTATTCTTGATTGTACTCATGATGCAAGCCACCAAGAACAAATGTCTTTGATAATTAGGTATGTAGATACATCTTCTGCTTCTGTTTGCATCAAAGAATCTTTCTTAGGCTTTTTGGAGGTGAATGATACCACTGGGCAAGGTTTGTTTAATGTTCTAGAAGAGGAGTTGAATAATCTTAGCCTTGATGTGGACAATGTGAGAGGACAGGGTTATGATAATGGGTCAAATATGAAAGGAAACAATAAAGAGGTACAAAAGAAATTTCTGGACAAATATCCAAGGGCATTTTATTCAGCTTGTGGTTGTCATAGTCTAAATCTGGCACTATGCGATATGGCGAAGTCTTGCCGTAAAGCAACAGACTTCTTTGGAATTATACAACACATCTATACAATATTTGCTAATTCGACTAAACGATGGCAAATTCTCAAAGATAACTTAAAGAAGTTGACTGTCAAGTCATTGTCATCTACTCGTTGGGAGAGTCATGTTGAGAGTGTTAAGGCTATATGAATTCAAATACCAGAAATAAGGGAGGCTTTACTACAAGTGGCTGAAACTGATAAGGATCCATTGACAAGTAGTGAAGCACAATCATTGGCAGAAAATGAACTTGGTGGTTTTGAATTTTTAGTGTCAATAATTATCTGGTATGGTATATTATCCGCTGTTAATTTGGTCAGCAAGCAGCTACAATCAAAGGACATGCTTATTGATATTGCACTTGAGTCTATACAAGGTCTGCTTTCCTTTTTCAAGAAGTATAGAGAAATTGGCTTTTCAAAAGCATTGGAAGATGCAAAAGAAATTGCACTTGAGATGGATATTCATCCAGAGTTCCGCACCAAGCGGAAAATCAAAAGAAGAAGACAATTCGATGAGGGTGCAGATGATGCATCTATTGCTTCACAATCTGCAGAGGAGTCATTTAGGGTCAATTATTTTCTGCAAGTGGTCGATCAAGCTATAGTTTCACTTACCAGGAGGTTTGAGCAATATCAGGGGTATGAAAAAACTTTTGGTTTCTTATTTACTTCTGATAGGCTGCGATCTATGGATGATAAGAGTTTGCTGGTTGCTTGTGTTAATCTTGAGGATGCACTTAAGAGTGGAGGACACAAAGACATTGATGGAGCTGAATTCTTTTACGAGTTAATTTTCATCCAGGATTTAGTTAAGAAATCTATGGGCCCCGTTGATATCCTTGAGATTCTGATGAAGCGCCCCTTCTATCCTAATGCTATTATTGCGTACAGGATTTTGTTAGCCATTCCTGTAACTGTTGCAACTACGGAAAGGAGCTTCTCTAAACTCAAGTTGTTGAAATCATATTTGTGTTCAACTATGACACAAGAAAGACTCAATGGTTTGGCGACAATAGCACTTGAAAATGATGTCTTGGAGAAGATTAATTATGAAGATGTAATTGAAGATTTCATTTCAAGAAACACAAGACGGATGACACTTTTCCATAGAGAATGAGGTCAATTTATTGGTTTTAGTATTTCGCATTGATACTTCAGAATATTCTAAGCATTGTATGAAATAATATAAATTTTAATTACATAATTAGGCGATTATGCTTGCGTAATTGTATATTTTTTAAAATTTAGGGCCCCATTTTTCTTTTCGCACCGGGCCCCCGAATTCCTGGAGACGGCCCTGATGTTGTGCCTTGAAGAGCCTATGAAAAAGACATTTTGGGAGTCTTAATCATCATTGAAAGTAAGTTGATTGATGGTGCATTATGGACCCTTGAGCTTCTTTGGAAGCCAGATGCCAGAAATGGACAAAGAATTTGAACTGTATGTACATTCGTAAGTGAGGCTCTGATGTTGGCTTTTATGTGGTGGTTCTTCAAGTATGGTGCAATGCATGTAATTATGGCATGCAGAAATTTAGTTAGCCTCCTAAAATAATTACTCCATTCACATAAATTTGACAAGTTGGAAAATACCTTAGGCGGTTCTTACGGTAATGTTTCCAATGGAATGGCTAACAAACTGTATGTTTCCAATACACCTCATTCATTATCCTCTTTGTATTATTATGTTGCAAAACTCACTACTTTATATTAGCCTAACCGAAGTACTAAAGTTGGATGCATGACATGCACATAATTCAGACAAAAGTGAAAATAATCAGTATTAAGGAGATGAGCATTATGCCCTAGAAAGAAAAGTAATAAGATTCATAAACATGAATGGAGAACAAACATGTATTCTTGGTGTTTTTAACTATAGGGTCTATGTCTATGGGGCTTGGCAAAATCTGAGTGGCCTGTCTTGAATTGTCAAATGTGCATAACTCGCGTGAGATTGAAGAAGCCTTAGGGCATCTACACCCCATGGTATATTTAGTAAGGCATTTATTATGAACAAATTGTTTTCTGCACACCTTTTCAGGTTTTTGGCGTTTTCCTGGATTTCCCTAGGTTTTCATGGTCTTTTAAGCACAACTGTGCTTCTCAGATAAAAAGGAAAAATCAGAACTCTTGCGTCCACGAGATGCACTGCCCGTGCTTCTGCCGGAAGCACAACTCGAAAAAGGGAAAAGCACACTGTGCTTCCCCGAAAAAGGGGAAAACACATCCTGTGTTTCTGGACTGCATTTTCCTTTCGATATTCTTTTTTTTGATTGCCTTATTTTTGTTTTTTCATCTTTTGTTTTTTTTTCAATTTCCAAACTTTTTGTGAAAAAAAATCGTAAAAACCTTTTAAGCGGAAATGGCCGCCAATTCCTCCTGCGCCTCTAGGCGGCGCAGCAAGTGGTGAGCAGGCCGAAGCCGGACCTGAATGCTGAGGACCTGTTCACCAAGGGTCCGGGGGGCATCAGCGGCAACCGGCGCACCCTCTGCCCTTCGCTCCTCGCGCTGGGCCTCGATCATCTGGGTAGCGGCTACAGCATGGCCCGGGAAGAAGTCTGTCCGGGCAGAAGAAGAAAAAGGCCAAGGCTATAAGAAAGGGCTGATAACTCAAAGCAAGAAACTAAGAGAATAGGGCTTACCATCGACCAATTCTTCAATGCCGCCGAAGCAGGCCATCACCTGGGCCTCCTTGTCGGCCCAGGCAGAGCGCTCGTGCTCAAACTCGGCAAGGAGGCTGGTCTCCGCCGTCTCCGCCTTCAGCTAGGCCGCCTTGAGGTTTTCCGCATGTTCGGCAAGTTGGGCGGCCAGGCGGTCCTGCTCCTCCGCCAGCTTGCTGCACTCCGCCTCCTTGCCACGTAGGGCGGTCTTGGCTTCACCCAGCTGCTGCTGCAGATCAGCATTGGCCTGTGAAGAAAGAAAGAAAAGAAGAAGGCATCAGTCAAGCGGACAAGATAAAGGAAAAGGAACAACTTAGGAGATTCGGCCCGACTGCTCAGCAGTCGGCCCGAACCTCAGAGACTACAGCCCGCGGGCGCGCCAGCGCCCCCCCGCAGAACATAAGTAGCCAACAAGGAAAAAAGAACAACTAAGGAGATTCGGCCCGACTGCTCAGCAGTCGGCCCGAACCTCGGGGACTACAGCCCGCGGGTGCGCCAGCGCGCCCCCGCGAAGAAGAAGAAAGAGACTTACGCCGACTTTCGGCGAGATGGGCCGTCTGCGCCTCCATCTCCCGAACCTTGGAGTTGTAGGCGGTTGCGCGGAGGTTATGATAATCCTGCAGAAGAAACACCAAAACGAAAATCAGCAATCGACAACTACAAGTTAAAGTTCCGACCCGCCTGCTCAGCAGCCGGCCCGGAACTTAGGGACTACACCCAGTGGGTGCGCTTGCGCGCCCCCACGAAAGAAGCAAAGAAGAACATTCAGAGAGAAAACCAAAAGACGGCTTACTCGGATGGCGGTGTGCGACTCCAAGTAGGCCTCGTTGCAGCGCTTGAGTGCCACTGCCTCCGCCCGGAGCTTGGCCTGGACGTCAAGGGACGCCTCGTTCAGGACTCCGGTTTCGCCCCCGCGTACCCAGCCCACGGGCGCGGCACTGGTCGCCTCGGTGTCAAGGGCCGACGAGCTCGAGGCGCCGATCTCCTGCGGCCGCGGCACCGAGGCCGCCTTCTCCAGATAGCAGCGCGTGGGAATGCGGATCGCGGGAACCAGGACCGTTGCCACCGAAGTACCGAATGGTGGCACCGGCGGCGCCACTGGCTGTTCGTCTCGCGGCTCGCTGGCTGGCGGAGGCGACGGCGGGGGCGGCGGCACGAAGACGTCCGGCATGGCTACGTCACCGCCCCCCTGCTCTCGGATCGGGTAGTCGCCGCCGGCTCCTCCGGCTGTCGCCTCGAAATCAGGCGGAGGCGGTGCAGTGTTCAAGGGGGCCACAAGTAGTGGCTCTTGGCGGCGGGCGGCCTCCGCGAGCCATTCCTTCTCAGTGGCCTGAGCTTCCGCCAGCGCCAGCGCCCTTGCGGCAGACGCGGCAGACAGGTCCGCCTGCTCCTTGGCCAGGCGGTCGGCCTCTGCCTCATCGAGCGCCTCCCGCGCATTCCGCTCTGTCGCCTCCCGGAGGTCGGCGGCCGGGTCGATGCGCCGGCTGGTCGAGGAGGTCGCTGCCGACCTGAGGATCGAGCCGGCACCCGACTTCTCAAGGGTCAGCGGGGCCCTGAAATAAGAAGACAAGTCAGAGGATTTTCACGACAGATTGATGAAAAACAAGGAGTAAGGAAATGATACTTACGCCGACATCATCACTGGCACCTTCGGCTGCCTTTGATATTGGGTCGCCCTGGCCGCGGTCTCTTTCCGCCTGGTCGCCGCGGCCGGATTCTTGAGCTTCTTTGGGGCGCTGCCGAACAGGGTCGAGCCCTGTTTCCGCTTGCGCTTGCCGCCTAGGGCGGGCGGCCCAGAAGATGGGCCGGCGCCGGTGGTGGCGGAGCTCCGGCCAGGGCATGGCTCGTCTTCGTCTTCGTCGTCGTCGGGCCAGGCCTCCATGCCGCCGCCTCCCTCGGAGCCGCCTGCTCCGCCACCACCGTCCGCTCTGCCACCGACGCCTATCGCGTCGTCGACCAGGGCGACCGCCCCCAAGTCGGGGTCGTCCAAGTCACTCTCTGCCATGTCCGCCTGGAGGTTATCACCCGGCCCCAGGAGGGCGGCCGTTGCCTCGTACATATAAATCTGCAACCAAGAAGGAATCAAGTCTTGAAGAAGCGGCGTCATAAAGAGAAACAAAGCAGAAGAAAGCAGTTCAAAGGATAAAAAGAAGAAACTTACAGCAGGAGGCGGGTTGTGGCGAGAGTACGGCCGCTTCCCGTAACGCCACTCCTTCTCCGACATCTTGAGGTCGGAGATTTCGTTTACCATCCGCGAGACTTCAGCAGGCAGCATTCCCTTCGTGCACAGCCGGCACGGGTCGCGGTGTCCACACATCCGGAAGATCGGATGAGGGCGGCTCTGGAGCGGGAGGACCCGGCGCTCCATGAAGGCAACAAGAAGGTCGGAGGCCATGAGGCCCTCCGACTCTTGGAGCACTCGGAGTTGACCGATGGTGGCCGCCGCGTCCGCCGACACCGGCTTCAGCTTGTACTTCCAAGAGACGTGGGCTCCGGTGGGGGGGGGCTCGTAGGCCGGCAGGTTGAGGAAGTCGGCAGCAGGGTCCACGTTCTTGACGTAAAAATAGGACTGCTACCACATCTTCACTGACTGCGCCAGCTTGATGATGGGGAAGGCGTTCGGTTTCGCCGGCCAGCGCACGGCGATGAAGCCCCCGCACTCGGCCGCCGTCTCCTTGGCGGAGGTGTCGAGCTTTTCATAGAAGAATGCTCCCCATAGCTCGATTGTGGGGAGGATGCCGAGGTAGCCCTCGCATGCCATGACGAAGGCGGAGAGCAAGGTCACGGCGTTGGGCGTGAGATGATGGGGCTGAAGGTTGTAAAAGTTGAGAAAGGCGCGGAAGAAATTGCTCGTAGGGAGGCCCAAGCCCTGCAGGAAATGCGAGCGGAAGACGACCCGCTCGCCTTCCTGCGGCGCCGGTGAGATCTTCGTCTCTGGCGGCACCCGCGCCTTGACGAAGGCCGCGCTGGGCATCCGGCGCGTGTCGCGAAGGAAAGTGATGTGGTCCTCGATCACGGTCGATCCATCCCAGTCGCCCATGGCTCCGGCTGGCGGCGCGGAGAGGAGAGACGCGTCGGCGTCGAGTAACGGCGGCAACGCTACGGCAGCAGCAGCAGCGAAGGCTGAGAGGAGAAGAAGAAGAGTGGGAGGGGACGCAGGAGGTTCGCCGCACCTCTCCCTCCTCCCTACTTATAGCGTCCGGGCTATGTTGCCGAGGGGGCGGGACGTGGAGTCGTGGGATTAACTGCGCCCACGTCCCCATGATCCCCCGTTTCCCGCGCGCATTTACCCCATCGCGAATGGCCGTGGGAATGGCAACCGCCCCCTCCGGCGCAGTAAATCCGTCCGGTTGCCGAGGCATGGTAGTGGCGGGCCCGGCCTAGAGTCATGTCCCATCCAGAGCGTGGGATGGCAGGCTTGTCTGGCTGACGTACGCCGCGTGGCGCGTCCGCGGCGG